TCTCGTCTCTCTGTAGTTCAGTCTCTCGTCTCTCTGTAGTTCAATCTCTCGTCTCTCTGTAGTTCAATCTCTCATCTCTCTGTAGTTCAATCTCTCGTCTCTGTAGTTCAGTCTCTCATCTCTCTGTAGTTCAGTCTCTCATCTCTCTGTAGTTCAATCTCTCATCTCTCTGTAGTTCAATCTCTCGTCTCTGTAGTTCAGTCTTTTCTCTGTAGTTCAGTCGCTTGTCTCTCAGTAGTTCAGTGTCCAGGCTTGTCCACTGAGGGGATCAGGTCTAGTTGTAGCTCCTGTAAAACCAGACTTCCCCTCTTAATGTTTTAAAGAACATTTGTTTTCACGGGTTTTTAATACATTGAGCTGACAGTTCAGCAATCTTTTCATCAGCTTGTTTTTTTTTTCTATTTTAATTTTCAATTGTTAGTTTTTCTGTGCAGCAATCAGGCCAATGACAGTTGTTTTTAAAAGTTATATAAATGTATTTGATTTGATATGCTCATGTCTAAATTAGAGGCTTTGTGTTTTTCATCAGGACAATATGAAACCAGACCTTCTACATCACAGCAGCATGGCTTCAGAGTCCACATCTCTTACCAACTTACATTTGGCAAAGAAACCCAGGACTGATGACACTAGAATGACTCATTAAACAAAAATGGGTCAACATTCTCCAGAACTGGTCTGTGATTCTGTGATACAGACGGATGTTATAAGAAGAGGGAAACACCTGGAACAACTTTTTACCTTATTTTTCCTGATGATTCAGTTCCTTAGTTTGAACCTTTGGTGTGTTTACTATGTTCCATTGGGAATCAAACATTTTCATGAGATTTACAAGCTGCATTTTGTAAACTGTGGTTAAGTCATGTTTGAATTTATAGAAAATGGTTTTGAAGATGAGTTTGTTAGACACACTCAGGTATCAGATTTATTTATAGAATACACTTTTGTAGTGAAGTAAATCTTCCACAGATGGTAAAAAATAAAAATAAAAATAAAAATAAAAACATGGATTCCTAGATGAACAGCACCACCTGCTGGTTAAAACCAGCACAACACTCAGTTCAGTTCATATTAATAACCTCACAGGTCTTTAGACCAACTTTGGAAGTCACGATATTACTGACAGATTTGAAGGCGGCCACATAACATAAAAACAAAGTTAAACCAAAAAAAAAAAAAAACAATCATGTTTGGAGAGAGATCTGTTTTACTGTTTGAATAAAAGAAAAGGAAGAAAAACATAATAAAGGCAATTAAGGTATAAGTTTAATATTTCTGAAAAGAATGCATATACAAAGAACAAAGACTTTAGACAAAGCATTTGGTTTTTCACCAAAACAACAACAGGTTATAATAATCATACTGACTCAGGCTGGAAATCAACCCAACTCTAAACCACCAGTAGAGACAGAAAAATAAAAATAAAATCTAAAATCAACCGATCACATCATCATTACCCAACAGTCTGTATCACTGAAGGTTTCCATATTGAACTAACTCAAATCAGAAGTTTGCTTGGTTTAAACTGGCAGGTAAGAGTTCAGGTGAGTTCAGACCCCTACATGTGAAGGAGTAATGTTTTATATATTTATAGATAATAAAAAAACAACACAAAACAGAAATAAAGAAAACTGATTTTGGTAAAAACCATCTGGAGCCTACAACAACATTGTGTGGCAGCTTACATTATAATTACATCTGTTAACCCTCTTGGTGTGAGCAGAGACCAGAGTGCAGCTCCCAGACCACCCAATACTCTGCTCCCATACAGTGGACCCCTCAGATGACTTTCACTCTTTTACATCCTAAAAAAAAAAACAACTGAAGCGTGGCATCCAGGGTGGAGGGTGGGGAGGAACAGTTTGGTCCCTGCTAATGAGTGAAGAACACACCACTTGTTCTGCTAACACTGTTTAAGTTCCCTGCATTGAAAAAGGCCAATTCCTGTGGTGGACTAGCAGAGCCGTTAGAACTGGAGGAATGACAGTCAGCACTGGGGAAGCCCCCCATCAGCAGACACACCTGCCCAGTGTCCCAGAGCTGGTCCGTATGGACCAGGCCTCTGACGTCTTCGGTCTGAGGGAGGAGGTGTTGGCAAACAAAATCTAACAACACTGCACACACTGAGTGGTGGTGTTGAGAAAGAACAACGGTGGTTGGCCGATGAGAAYGGGCAGCCACCAATCAGGTAGCTGGGAGGAGCTGAGGCGGGGCTTTGAACCACAAGAGCTTCATTGGCTGAAGACAACTAAAAGGCTGAGCGTCTAAAACCTAACGAGGCCACATTCTGAGCGGAGAGGATGTCCCGCCCTGCCGGCAGCCCCTGCGGCCTGTTGGCCAAGACCGCTTACACCCGGGGGTCCAGATTCAGACGAGTGCTGGAGCTTCATGTTGCAAAGAAATGTCTAAAACTTGGTGGGCTGCTTCTGTCTAGTCTACCCTGTGGAGGACTATGTTGTCAACCAGCCTTAACAGAGCAAGGAAAATGTGTGTGTTTGTGTGTGTGTGGTGGGGGTACGCAAAGTGTGTGTGTGTGTTTGTGTGTGTGTAGTATTTGTGGTAAGGTGTGACCCACTCATAGCAGCACACATTTACGTTTCTTCTTGGGCTCTGGGGGCTCCAATGCAGCCAATATTGCCTCATCAAACACATTCTTTAGGCCTTTCTGTGAACACAAACAGACACACACACAGTGAGGGAACAGTGCAAACACACACACACTTAAATAATAAAACAGCAGGCAGGTAAAATCATCTTAACTGAAGGAACTGTGGTGACAGCATGTCAATAAGAGAAGGGTGGGAGAACTTTAAGGAACAAAAACGAGATTTCTTCAACTATAAATGAAATTTTACACCTAACAACTCAAAATATCAGAATTTAAATTAGGTTTTAGAAAAATAAACATGCAGTGTTGGGTCAAAAGTGCTGTCTAAATCAAAAAGGCAAGAAAAATAAGAAAGTGGAGGAAAAACGGAGCAGAACTGCAAAGACGCCAAGCAGAAATGGATCTGACAACTCGTCTTTGTTTCTTACAGACAATCAAACCTTCTGACCACACACACACACACACACACACACACACACACACACACACACACACAC